GTATCGCCCACTTCCCTGGTTTGAGTTGTGAGCCGCCCTGAGTCCCCTTCGGGGGGAAAGGGCGGCATATAAATAAATAAAATCAATCAATCAAAATCAAATCAATATCCAAGTTGAGTTTTGGCAAAATGGGAAGCGTTTACTATTGCTTTTTAAGGTGTTTCCCCCATTTTGGCTGTCTAGTTATAGACAGACTAGAAATAGCAGTTGTGATATTCCTAGTTTTTTTGTTAAATTTATTTGCTGCCTATGTGACTATGAGACTATTCTAGATGTCTTACAGCAATAAAAAGGAAGATGTGATAAGAGTGTAAGCAGAAGTAACAAAATAGAACAATAAAATAAACAAAACAAACAATGAAAAAGAACATGAGAATATATCAATATGATAACAAAAAGATGGAAATCAGAGAGGAAGGTATGGAAGTGGAGTCTGGCATTAGTGTAGCAGCCACCTCCACAGTGAAATGCCTCCCATCTGGTCCCCAGACCAACCAGCATAGCCAGGTCTTCAGGCTCTTGAAGAAAGGTAGTTGGGGGCAGATCTTACCTTAGAAGTAAGATTTTCAAAGGGTGGGAAGTGCAGCAGAAAAGACTCTTCTGGGTTCTGATAGCCAGAGTTCTTTTAATGCAGGGAGGCAGAGAAATTGCTTTGGAGAAGGAGTCCAGAAGCCATTAAGGAAACATCAGGTACAGAAGGAAAAGTCTAAAGAAGTAGGAGAATGTGGCAAAATTAGCCCCCTCCCCCCACTAGACTTCCTGAAGTATAAGAGGGAGGAAAGGGAAGACATAGGCAGAAGACTTGCAAGATTCTGTTACTGTTTCTGGGTTTTTTTTCCTTAAGAAAAAAAGGAGGTATACATATATACATACATACATACATACATACATACATACATACATACATACATACACACACACTGTATTTTTCGGAGTATAAGACACACCGGAGTATAAGACGCACTAAGGTTTTGAAGAGGCAAATTTAAAAAAAGTAGGTAGGTAGATAGAGGGATAGAGAGAGAGAGAAAGAGAGAGAAATACAGTAGGTAGAGAGGGAGAGTAGTTAGGTAGGTAGGTAAATAAAGGGAGGGGGAGAGAGAGAGAAATACAGTAGGTAGGTAGGTAGGGAGAGAGAGAGAGATAGTAGGTAGGTAGATGTTTCCAAGTGTATTTATCCATGTGCTGGAGAAGGAAATCGCTGACAATCTGCAGCACCTAAGACTTTGTTTCTGTTGGCACAGCACTTGATCAATCTAATTCTCATCAATCACTCTAACTAAAGAGCTTTCTAAAAGGAAAAAAAAGTTTTTGCACTCTGCAAACCTCCCAAAAATGTTTTTTTAAAAAAAGGCATGAATAGCCTGGGGGGGGGGCGCTTGCAGAATGCTCTTCAGGGGGTGGGCCCCCCAAAAGCGAGCAAAAACCAGCCCATTTTTTGCAAAAATGGGTCTGTTTTTGTCAAAAAATTTGCATGCACAGCCTTATGAAGGCTTATAGAGTGCTGCTGAGGGGGGGGGGGCAAAAAACGGGCCGTTTTTTGCTCATTTCTGCCCTCCCCAGCCCCCCCAGGAGCTCTCGG